CTTCCGTAGTGATACTGCCTTGGAAACCCAAGCAGGGTCGCTATGAGTCGGGTTTGACTCGACGGCACATAACAACAACAACAACATATATGTATAAATATTTCTATATATACAAATATGTGTTTATATATACATGCATATGCATATATGTGTATATATACATATACATATGTATGTGTGTATACATATATATGTGTATACACACACATATACATGTACCATCTTATCACTGACAACATTGTATCTCAGGATGTTGTTGCTAGGTGCTGTTATGTTGGCTCTGACTCATAGAGACCCTATGTAGAACAGAACGAAACACTATCCAGTGGAATGTTACTACATAATATATGGTACTTAGGGACTTAAGAAATGAAGATCATATAATGTTGTCATCCATCTTGTATTGAGAGGTTGTGACATTCAGGATAATGGCTCCACTATAAATCCTAATCCCTAGAAAATCTGATTATCTTCTGTAAAAGTGATTAAATCTATGAATTTTGGTATGGAGAGATTAGCCTGGATTATTCTGGGTGGTCTCAATACAATCACATAAACCCTTAAAGAATAAGGGGAGAGACTGTATCTATACCCACAAATACATATAGATTTGATAGAGGATATTTTCACATGCATATTTCTATTTTTGCAAATATATCCATCAATACCATGGAATATACAGAACACAAAGTTATGGAAACATTTTAGCCATAAGCAAACACTTTGAAGGAATGAATTGCTGGGCCTGTGGGCTTGGGCCATGGTCTCAGGGCACATCAGGTCAATTAGCATCACATAATCCTCAAAGACAGTGTTCTACATCCTACTTTGGTGAGTAGCAATTGGGGTCTTAAAGCGAGTGAATGGCCATCTAAGGTGCAACTCTTGGTCTGTCCTTTTCTGGAGCAAAGAAAAGTGAAGAAAATGAAAGACATACGGAAATAATTAGTCCAGAGGACTAATGAACCATGTGAACACCAACCTCCAAAATTCTGAGACTAGAAGAACTTGATGGTGCCTGGCTACCCCTGCTGAGTGCTTTGAAAGGGATCACAATAGGAGGTCTTGGATAGAATGTGAGAAAACTGTGGAACAAACCTCAAAATGATTTAAAAAAAAAAAAAAAAAAAAAACCAGGCTTACTGGTGAAAGACTTCTATTGCCAGATTTGAAGACCAATGAGGCAACAAGTCAAGGAATGTGGTAGTGTCCAGAAAATGAAAATGACTTCCAGCTGACAGCCAGCAAGGATATAGAGACCTCAGTCTTAAAACTTCATGGAATGAATTCTTCCAAAAACCTAAAAAGGGGAAAATATGGAAGCTCCGTCCCGTAAAACCTCCAGAAAGAAAAGCAGGCCTACCTAACAACACCTTAAGTTTAGTGTTGTGAGTCCAGTGTTGGACTGTGGCTTTTGGAGCTGCAAGACAGTGAATTTGTATTAAACCACTCAATTTGTGGCAATTTATTACAGCAGCAAAGGAAAACTAATACATAGATTACTTAAATGGTATGTAAAATGTTGCAGATTGACTTTCAATGTACCAATTTATTTCATGACCACTTCTACAGGAGAGGATTGAGGTTTGAAATATTCATCTTCCCAGGCTTCCTACCAGCTAAATGTGGGCAGATGGCTCAGTGCTTGCTATTGAGATGAATATGAATATCAGCAAGTGCTATCCTTTGTTTTCATTTCATTTCATTTCTCAAAGGTTGAAACATTCACATGGAAGAATGGAAAAACAGAAAGACAGAAGAGACTTGCCTTGGATGTAATTGTTTTAAAAGCACTGGTCTAGCTAACTCATCCCTTCAGGAATTTTGCTGTGTCAAGTATACAGACAAGTTTTGTTTTACATGTCCTTGTCCTTTTCTAGCCGAGTTATTTCACTCAGCATAATGTTTTCAAGGTTCATCTATGTTGTAGCATGTGCCAAGGCCTCATTTCCCTTTACAGCTGAGTAATATTGTGTGGTATTGATACACCACATTCTTTTTTCATCCATTCATCTGCTTACACATATTTAGGTTATTTCCATCTTTTTGGTTACTGTAAACAGTGCTTCAATGAATCTTGGTATACCACTATTTGTTGCACACTTGTTTTCAGTTCATTTTAGTATAGACTTTAGAATTATGAGATCATCTGGTAATTCCATGTGCAATTTTTAAGAAGTACCAAATATTTTTCCTTTGCAGCTGTACCATTTTATAATCCCATCAGCAATGGGTAAGTATTTGAATTTCTCCACATCATGGCCAACACCTGTCCACTAACATTTTTTTAATCATAACCATTTTGTACAGTTGAAGTAATATCTCATTGTGGGTTTTATTTTCATATGACTAAAAATTAGTGATATCAAGTATCTTTTCTTATGCTTGGATGTACATCTTTTTGTGATATATCTATTTAAGTCCTTTGCCGATTTTTTTTTTTTTTATTGGAGTGTTTGTTTGTTGTTAAGTTGTATGCATTCTTTATATATTCTAGATGTCAAGTCCTTATCAAATATATGTTTCCCAGTAATTTTCTCCTGATCTGTAGCTTAACTTATCACTTTGTTGATAAAGTCCTTATATCCAAAAACCTCACTGCCGTGGAGTCAGCCCTCACTCATAGCAACCCCTCCTTGGGTTTCCTAGGCAGTATCACTATGGAAGTATATTGCCCAACCTTCCTTCTGATGAGTGGCTAGTGGGTTTGAACCACCACCTTTCTGGTGAGCAGTGAAACGCCTTAGGTACTACACCACCAGAGCTTCCATATATACATATGTGTGCATATATACACATATATATGTATGCACACATACCAAAACCATTAAAAAAATCACAGGAACCAAAATCTGTTTTGTTTTTATATATCAGCAATAAAAAATATTAAAAGAAAATTAAGGAAACAATTCTATTTGCAACTGCATTTAAAACAAATGTTGTTGTTGTTACGTGCAGTCAAGTTGGACCAGACTCATAGCGACCCCTCCCTTGGTTTCCGAGGCAGTATCACTATAGAAGTAGATTGACTAATCTTCCTTCCAAGGTTTGGCTGGTGGGTTTGAACCACCAGCCTACTGGTTAGCAATCAAGTGCCTTAGGCACTATGCTACCAGAGCTCCCTTAAAATAAATACTTGTGCATAAATTTAATCAAGGGAATAAATGACTTATTCCCTGAACACTATGAAACATTATGGATAGCTCTTATAAAAGATCCAAATAACTGCAAGGATGTGCTCATGGCATGAAGACTTAACGTCATTAAGATATTGGTAATACCTAGAGAATCCTATTCAATTATATCCTTAACAAAATTTCAAGAGAAATTGATTTGATTATTGTAGGAGATGCCTTGAGTGACTGGAAAAATGACTTGGTTCAATTAGAAAGTAACTTGGGAAAGGAGTTTACCCCAGGGCAAAATCTATTTCCAATTAAAAAGGGCTATTTGTTCTGAGAGTAGCATATATTTTAGAAGGTGGTTAACTTCTGTTTCAAAAACAGTACATCATTTAACCATTAGAAAATTTTATTTCTCACTTTTTTATCAATCAGCACTTTTAATTTAATAGCGTTAATCAGGAAATTTGCCTTAATCAAAAAGGTAAGCAAGAACTATTTCTGTCTAATACCACATCTATTTTCATATGTATCTTCATGCTTTAAGAATCAGCAAAACACATTCAATTTTAGAAAGTAAGAAATGGAATCCTCTTTTTTTTTTTTCAATTTCAAGCATTGTTCAGACAACCATCATATTTTCCATATTTTTGTGATTATAAGATGAAATGAGAACTAAATATAAAAACATAATAATACAATGGACCAATATATCAAAGCATATCATCTTCATTATCATCATCATCCAAAGGGACAGCATTCATGGTTGATTACTGTACGGTAAGCATGGGCTTAACTATTTTATAGGTATATAGATCTATGGATCATATCTCATAAAACCCAATACTATTTATAAATATGAATACGAACACACACACATATATACATACACACACACAAGCACATATATAGAGAGACAGATAGATGCCTATATCTATCTATCTATCTATCTATCTATCTATAGCTATCTATGTGAGATGAATTCATAAAAGTGAAGTAAGTTTGTATTTGTATCAGTTTTTACCGATACATAAGGAATTATTTGTTTGTAAAGAGTTAAGGTCCTTGACTAATAAGGAAGTCTGAAAACACTAGCCATATGTGGACATGCTTTTCTTTTTATCATTAGAGACTTCTACTAGGGGAAGAAGTCCTCTCAATTATATTCACCAATTTCTAATATTTATTTCTATTTCTATTTATTTTTAAACTTAATCTTAATTCAAACAATATACACATATATATCATTTTATATATATATATATTATATAATATATGGTATATAACATGTCTTATATTATATATATATTATATATTTATATATATTATATAGATATAGATATAAATATAGATATAGATATAGCTCTGGTAGCATAGTGCCACTTGACTGCTCACCAGAAGGCTGGCGGTTCAAATCCACCAGCCACTCCTCGGAAGGAAGGTTGGGCAATCGTACTCAATCGTACTTCTGTAGTGATACTGCCTCGGAAACCTAAGGAGGAGTCGCTATAAGTCAGGGCCGACTCGACGGCAAACAACAACAACACAACATATATATATATATATATATATATATATATAGCAAATAACTACAACAACAAATATATATATATATACACAGTGTGTTTTTTTTGTTTGTTTGTTTTGTTTTTTGATCTATATGGAGCTCTTGTGGCCTAGTGATTAAAGAATTTGACTGCTAACTGGAAGGTCAGTGGTTCTAGCCCACCAGAGCAGTCACTGTGCAGAAGAAAGATGGGGCAGTCTGCTTCCATAAAGATGTATAGCCTTAGAAAGGGAATGAGGATTGCTATGAGACAGAATGGAACTCGATGGCAGTGAGTTGAGTACACATCTATATGGTGATGATGTTTTACATGATTTCAAAATTGCTATCCCAAACACATTGTGGAGGCCAGAAAAATAAAGAAACAGTGTTTGAAGAAGAATAGAAATTCCTACATTTATATATAGTTATTTTCTTTCTGAGTAGCTTCAAAGGAATTACCAAATAGAATTAATAATTGTAATTATTAATAATTCTAATAGTTAATATTTATTATTAATAATTAATTATATTTCCTTTCTTTAAAAATTGTTAAACATTGAGAATCTCTTTTAATGTTAATAACATTATTTCTCCATTATATAGAAAAACAGATTGATACCAAACATTTTAAAAGTGTTCAGTAGATGTTGATTAGATTCTTGTTTGCAAGTATAGTTTTGCTTTTCCTTGTTAATTGTTTCTTCACACCTTAGTTTCAGATTTCTTTTCAAAGAAACCTAACCTATTTGATTGCTAAGGAAAAATACAGAGAAGGAATCTAGGATTGAAAGAAGAGGATGCAATAATGAGGATGCAGTTTCTGAAGACAATGGTCAGATCATGTGTGGGTACTTGATATATTGCGGTGAAGAAAATTCAGCAAATAATGTTGATTAACTTTCATGCTTAGGCTATAGATTGAATTTATTGACAGAGGTCAATAAAACAATAAAACTTTCATGCTTAGGCTATAGATTGAATTATTATTGACAGAGGTCAATATAATAGGCTTATACTTTTATAGAAGAGTGAAGTGAAAGATAATGAGTCATGCAGTCTAATAGAGTTAAAATTATATCTTAATCATATTTTGTGTTAGACACTAGTTTATGACCAATCTTGAGATGTAGTTAGAGAATCTTTAACATTCCCTTCAATCAAATTTTACTGGGCAAACCTTGTCAGGTAATGATTTGGAAAATGTCTTTGTTGCTTTACTAATTAGTTTAGAATATTGTAGATGTTGTTTTTCTTTCCTTACTCAGTCACAGAAAATCCACAGGAAGTCCAATTCTGTATGGACTGTGTTCCACTTGTGTCTCCTCTAGGACATAATCCATTCTTAATATCTTTAATATATAATTATAGATAAGCTTCCTGTTTGCAAGGAATTAGTCTCTATTGACAGGACCCTGGGGAATGCAAACGGTTCAGCCCTGGAATACTGGCCAAAGGGTTGGTGGTTTGATTTCACCCTGATGTGCCTTAGAAGACAGGGCTGGAGAGCCTCCAAAAGCTTACAGCCTTGAAAACCTTGTGGAGTAGTTCTACTCTGAACTTATGGGCCACCATGAGTTTCAATGAAGTCAGTGGAAACTGACAACAAAAACAAAACAACCTACACTGACTTTCCAATTAACACATGAGTACTAAGTAAGTTATCTGGAAATAATGAAAATGAGATAATGTTCTTCTTCTCTAAGAGTGAATAAATTGAATAAAATTCTTTAATGTGCACACAATCAAAAGAAAAGAAAGTGTGATTACATCCTTCCATCTGGTAATCATTGGAGTCAAGCCACATTTTGCATAGGAGACCGTTCTTATCATCTGGAAATTATTCTAAAGATTAAATTAATTTGCTTCATTTACTTCATCTACCCAAGATGTTATTAAATCAAATTAAATGGGCATTAATAAATCATGTTTTGTTGAACAAAATACTGTGCATGGCAGAGAAAATTGTACTGAATTCTATAAGAAGCTTATAGGTGAAGAGATAAGAAAAGTGTATAATAATGATTGGTTATCACAGTTTAACACACTCATGTGTGTGCAACATGAAGTGCATGCAAAATGGAAAACTAAATGTCAAAAATGCAGTCAGCCAAAAGACAGAAGTTAGTGAAGATGTGGATGATTTAGGAAAATATCATAGATGAATTAAGGTAATGTCTCTCTTACAGAGTGGTCACTCTAGTTAAAATTACTTTCATGAGCATAAACTAAGGTGAATTTGTTTCTAACTTGTGCCTCACAACAAAATTTGAGTAAAATTATACCTTCTGACATCACAAATCTTACATTGAAATACAAAGAATTAAGGTTAAATGCAATTACAAAATATTTGATGGTTACCTTATCATCATGTTGTATGATAACCTAGCTTCAAAGAAATGTTCTTATAGTAAAACAAGACTTTTGAGATACTAAAGTAAAATAATATTTTTATTAATCATATTTGAATGGTTTGGAATGATGATAGATGGCATATTACATGTATTTGGGCAATTAAGTTGATTCTTAATTGATTATATTAGAAAACAGAATTAGAGATGAGGATGAAAGCAACCCACCTAAAAGAATGAGCAGAGAGCAAATCTGACCAGATTGCCCCATCTGGACTGGGATTCCAATACCCCAAGAGCCACTGCTAGCTGGACACACATCCTTTGGTTAATGACTAGAGGATAGTTCAGAGGGCTACCAATGGCCACACAGCAGTCACAAACCATCACAGTCAGGAGTAAACAGGTTTTGATTTTGGGATTTTGAATGCTTATATCAATAGCAAAATTTGTATATTTAATTTAAATGTGCATACATCATCACCTCAAAAAAGAGATACCAATAAACCCTTAGCAAAAAAAAAAAAAAAAAAGGAAATATTTCTCATAGATCTATGGAGCAATAATTTATACTTATACTTGACAACCTTTATAAAGCAATTGGGATTTATAGGATTTGTTCTTTTTTTTCTCCTTTTTTTTCTTTAATGAATTTTATTGAAATATAATTTATGTACAGTGAAATACACAAAACTAAAGTGACATAAGTCAATGCATTTTTTTTTTTTTTTTTGCAATGTTCCCTTCCATCCCCTCCCACCCCTGGCAACCAACAAAGAAAGTTTCCCTCCATATATAAAGCTTTCCTTGACCCTCCAAAACAATGAACTAATACTATATTTGTCCTTCTGTGATTGACTTATTTCACTCAGCATAATGTCCTCCAAGTTCATCCATATTATGCGGTGTTTTGCAGACTCTGCATTATTCTTAATGCTGCATACCATTCCAGTATGTGTATGTACCATAGTTTGGTCATCCACTCTTCCTCTGATAGGCACATAGGTTGTTTCCATCTTTTTGCTATTGTAATTACCACTGTGATTAACATGACCGTGCATGTATCTTTCCTATCCTGGCTCTCACCTCTCTAGGATATATACCAGTAATGGGATTTCTGGGTCAAATGGTATTTCCAATTCCAACTTTGTAAGGAATTGCCATATTGCTTTGCATAGTGGTTGTGTCACTTCACAGTCTCACAATCAGTATATGAGAGTCCCAATCTCTCCACATTCCCACCAGCATTTATTTTCTGTCTCGTTGAACCTTGCCATCAGTGCTGGGGTGAGACGGTATATTTCATTGTTGTTTTGATTTACATCTCTAGGGTGGCCAATGATTGTGAGCATCTTTTCATGTATTAGGTGACTGCCTGATTATCTTCCTTGGTGAAGTGCCTATTCATGTCTTTTGCCCATTTTTCAATTGGATTGTTCATTCCTTTGGTGTTGAGGCATTGGAGTTTTCCATCAGTCTTAGAGATAAGTCCCTTGCCAGATATGTAATTATTAGCAAATATGAATTTGTTGCTGTCATTTTTGTCCTATGCTTTTTCATTGTGTCGATTTCTTTGTTCCATATAATTTTCTAGGCTGAGCTCGTTTTGTTTGTGAATCATGTTATCACTTCCTTCATTGCTATTGTTTTAGTATTTCCTCAATATTTATGCTGGTCCTCTTTTTTATTGTGATGTGAAGGTTTATCATTTTTCTTTGAGGTTTCCCTGTGATTTATAGTTTTCTTCCCAAGTTTAGAACAGTGCATTCTATCTTGTAGTTGTGTTGACTTCCCTACCATCTAGAAGTTCTGTGATGACACAGATTTTTTTCCCTCTTTTTGGTTTGTAGTTGTCCTCATTTGTCGGTTGGTGTCTCTGGTTCCCTGTTTACAATCTTGTAGGCTTATTTACTTTGGATACTTCCATAGCTGGGTTGGTTTCTAGGTTATATCACCATGTGTGTTAGTGGTCAGTTGTTGTTGATGGTGTTGTTTCTCTGTCCAAAAGGCTCCCTTTAGCATCTCTTGTAAGGTTGGTCTGGTTTTAACAAATTCCCTTAATTTCTGCTTATCTGGAAATGTCCTAATTTCACCATCATATTTAAGGGACAATTTTGCTGGGTACATAATTCTTAGTTGGAAATTTTTCTCTTTTAGTGTTTTATATATACCATCCCACTCTCTTCTCACCTGCATGGTCTCTGTTGAGAAATCCAAGCTTAGTCTTATTGGTTGCCCCTTGTAGGTAATTTTGTTTTCCCATGCTGCTCTCATGATTCTTTCTTTGTCTTTGGTTTTGGTGAGTTTGATGATGATATGTCTTGGTGATTTTCCTTTGGGGGTCTATCCTGTTTGGGGTTTGTTGGACTTCCTGAATGGATATATTCTCATCTTTCATCATATCAAGGAAGTTCTCCTCCAACAAATCTTGGACAATTTTCTCAGTGGTTTTATTTTTCTCTTCCTGTTCTGGAATTCCAATGGCAAGCAGGTTATTCCTTTTGATGGTATCCCACATGAACGTTGGGCTTTCTTCATTTTATTTTGATCTTTTTTCTGATTGATCACTTTCCAAAGAAGTATTCAGGTATTTGTCTTCATTCTCATTAATCTATCTTCCATTGCATCAATTCTAATCCTTTGCCCTTTCAATGTGTTATCTATTTCTGAAAATGTAGTATTAATCTTCTGGATTTCTATCTGTAGAATTAGAATCATTTCTAATTTTTTTTTTTAATTTTGTCATTTTTTATTGTATTTTCTTCCAAAATTCTTCTAGGGTTTTGTTTGTGTTTTCCTTGGTCTATCTCTCAATCTTTTGAAGATACCTAAATATAATTCTTTTGAATTCTTTATCAGAGAGTTCCAATGCTGCATCTTCCTTAAGGATGCATTTTGGATCTGTATCCTGGTCCCTTGTTTCTCCTGCTTTATCTCGCTTCTTTGTGTAGACTGTGATGCTCTGTTGTCTCTGAGGCATTGTGACATTTTTGTGTTTATATTTAATTGGTGATTATATGTTGGAATGACTTGCCCACAATTTTTGTTTTCTTTGTTTTGTTTGTATGTCATCTATACAGGCAGAACACTATGCTGTGTTCCTCCATTCACTAGTTGACAGCACTTATACACTCGCACCTGTTCCATTCACTAGTTGACAGCACTTATACACTCACACCTGTCTCCTTTCCTTTGACAGCCTCTCATGTGTCCTTGCCGAACCTGGCAAACAGAGCCTGTTCTTAGGTCCACGGAATTTGAATCTTATAGGATTTGTTCTTATGTGGAAGTGAAAAAAAAAAATTAAAACATATCACCTTAAGTCTGCAAGTCTGAGTACAAAAGCAAGAAAAATGAAATGACTTGTTCTTCTGACTAATTCATTCTCACAGGTACACTGTGAAGTGAAAGAAGCAGAAGGCAATGTCTCTACAGTGATGCAGTTTGTACTACTGGGATTTTCTGAACTTTCAGATCTTCAAGGGTTTCTATTTGGAATGTTCTCTACCATTTACATAATCATTATAACTGGAAATAGCCTCATTATAATCTTAACCAGACTTGATCCTGCATTACAGAAACCCATGTATTTTTTCCTGGCCAATTTTTCCTTTTTGGAAATCTGTTATGTGTCTGTCACTCTCCCCAGGATTCTAGTGAATCTTTGGACTCAGGATAGAAACATTTCCTTGCTGGCATGTGCCACTCAAATGTGCTTCTTTCTTATGCTGGGGGCCACTGAATGTTTCCTCCTGGCTGTGATGGCTTATGACCGCTATGTGGCCGTTTGTCACCCTCTGCACTATGCTGTAGTCATGAACCAAATGATATGTGTTCAGCTAGCAGTTGGCTCCTGGCTCATGGGAATCCCAGTCCAGATAGGGCAAACAGCTCAGATTTTTTCTCTGCATTTTTGTAATTCTAACCAAATCAGCCACTTCTTCTGTGATATCCCCCCCATTCTCAAGCTGGCCTGTGGAGACACTTTTGCTCATGAGATATCTGTCTACCTAATAGCTACATTGTTTGTTGCAGTTCCTTTTATGCTGATACTTGTCTCCTACAGCAAAATCATCTTCACCATTCTGAAGTTGCCAACTGCTTCAGGAAGGGCGAAAGCCTTCTCCACATGTTCTTCCCACCTGCTGGTTGTACTTTTATTCTTTGGATCTGCTACTATCACCTATTTAAGACCTAAATCCAAACATACTGCAGGAATAGACAAGCTGCTCTCTCTTTTCTACACCATTGTGACTCCGATGTTCAATCCCATGATATACAGCCTTAGAAACAAGGATGTTATTGCTGCACTGAGAAAACTACTGTTTAAAAAGTAGTTTGAGGAAATAGAAAGAACATAAACAGATGAATTTTATATTTAACACACTGGAATATCACAAAATCATAAAGATCTATCACTCTTCAACGTGGATGAAATTTGAAAACTGGGCGAAATAAGTGAGTCTGACAAGAACAAATATTTTATGTTCTCACTTACATGAAATAAGCAAATATATAGAAACCAAATATTATTAGTGATTTTGTGGGAGATGGAGAAAAGGAGAGATTTTGTGTTAATGATGAAGGGTTAGCTTGTGAGAAGATGAGAGAAAGGTTGTACAACATGAACAATGCTTTTTCAATGGCCCTCAACTATAAATATAGAAATTGTTGAATTGTTGAATTTGTTGTGTTTATTTCACTATGTTTTTAAAAGTAGTATTATGAGCTTAATTATTATTGTTTTAAGTACATGTCACACTTTTATGAGAGAAACATTTCAAGTCTCTACATTCCACCGTTGACAAGTTAACGACTTCCAGCTTATGATGTACCAGAGATATGCAGCTTAAAGTTTACTATGCTTGTGGATATACTTGGTAACTTGATCTAATTTCAGTGCTTCTTGTCAAACAATAATTGTTTTGCACAAATGAAAGTTTGATCAGTACTGAACTTTATAAAAAATATGAACAGAATTCAAACCATTAAAATTTTTGTTTTGTGCATTCTTACAACTCTGCAAAATTAGTTATTTCAAATCATGTTCCCCAAAATGTTCACATACACTTAGCTCTCTCCCTGGTTACTTCTTATCAAAACATATGACAAAGCAGGAAATTCCCCCCTGCCTTGACCAGTGCACTTTCCAGATATTTCTATATTTTGTTTGTTTCTTTTCTTTTTCTTTTTTATTGTTAATGGCCCACTGCCATTGAGTTGGATTCAGCTCATAATGACCCCTGCTTAGGTTTCTGAGGTGGTAACACTACGGAAGTAGATTGGTCAACCTTCCTTTCGAGGAGTGGCTGGTGGGTTTGAACCACCAGCCTACAGATTAGCAGTGAAATGTCTTATGCACTAGCTTAATGTAATTCACTAGCTTATTGCATCTCTTTTGTAATTTCATTCCAAAGAGCAACCAAGTATATCAATTCAGAATAGCAAGAATTGCGAGGATGGAGCCAGAACTGGTAGTATTTCATTCTGTGTTACGAGGGTTTCTATGAATCTGAGCCCACTTGACTGCATCTGACAGCGGCAACCTCTCACAAAATAACCTGGGGGTATCAGTAAAGAAATAAGTGTTTCACAGATAGGATACTGATGTGTGTCAGTAAGGATGCAATTGTTAACTTCATTCTTCACTAATTTTAAAGTATTGAAATATCATTTACTCCCAAACATAAATTTTAGCCTATGAATCTTGGATAAGTTTACTCCAAGAGCAGAAGAGAAAGAAAATACAGAAGAAATAAAGAAATGTGAACAAATTTACCACAACCTTATTATATAGATGATATATAAATGATAATGTATAAATTGACCTTGTCAAGGCAATACAAGAGGCAATATTGTGTATGTATATGTATATATGTGTGTGTGTATCAGCAATCATCCAAACCAGATACAGGCAGCAATGCACACTAGTTTTCTTCCTTCCTAAATATATAACACTGGTGGTGCTGTGGTTAAAACATTGGGCTGCCAACCAAATAGTAGGTGGTTTGAACCCACAATCTGGTGCATGGATATCAGATGAGGCAATCTACTTCTGTAAAGTTTTACATCCTTGGAAACCTGATCAGGGTCATTGTGAGTCAGAATTGACTCAATGGTCATGGGTTATGTTTTTGTTACGTGCCATCAAGTGGGCTCAGACTCATAGCAACCCTATGTACAACAGAAGAAAACACTGCCTGGTCCTGTGCCAGCCTCACAATCCTTGCTATGTCTGAGGTCATCATTGAGACCACTGTGTGAGTCCATCTCATTGAGGGCCTTCCCCTTTTTCACTGACCCTCCCTTTTACCAGCATGATGTCCTCCAGGGAATGGTCCCTTCTGACAACATGATCAAAGTAAGTAAAACAAATATACAAGGAGCTCTGGTGGTGTGGTGGTTAAGGCATTTGGTTGTTAACCAGAAGGTAAGTGGTTTGACCCACCAGCCACTCCATGGGCCAAAGATTGAAGCAATCTGCTTCCATAAATATTTATAGCTTTGGAAAACCCCTGGGGATCGTTATGAGTCAAAATAAACTCAATGGCTGCGAAGTTTCTTCTCTTTATATGTATGTATGTTTATATGTATGTACATCTATATATCTATGTATATATCTAAGCATATC